CATACGTGCATGTGTATGTCTGTATGTTACCTGCCTGTCGGTGTTGGTGTCTGTAATGTGTACGTGTGTGTGTGTGTGCTCGTTGGTTTATTTGCTCTCTGCTTCTGCTGGTGGCGGTGGTACCTTGACAGCCGGCATTCAATGTGATCTTTGCACGATGTGCAGCAACGCTCAGTAGTGATAACCAGCCGATCTGTCGGGTCAATGCTCTGCAGGTACTGTACATCTATATCTCCGTGATTACTTTGATTAGTATTGATTGCTGTACACTGGAACCTCTGTAGTATGTGTTATGTGTCTCAGAGGGCTGTACGAATATGTCCTTTACGAATGAGGCACTTCAATACATGTCAGTTCAATACATGTACTGCTTTTCCTTTGAGAGTACCAGTACATGTGCCGTAAAGTACCGCCAGAGCACCCCGTCTCGCGAGAGCGCCCCATCTTGATTTTACAGCCAGGGAAAGGAAAATCGTATGGCAGAGTGCGACAAAGTTTGTACGGTGTGAGAACCTTGGTGTACAAGGTAACACTTAGCAGGTTTTTGTGTGGAGCTCGTGTCCGCTCGAAGGTAAATTGAGTACGGATTGACAGCACAATGTGCAGTATGTGTACAGGGTTCGTGTCATATAACCTACAGACAGGAGACTACCTCCATAATATGACCATGAAAGGACTAGGTGGTGGGGCGCTCTCGCGGTACTTTACAGTACTTCGAAGTACATGTAATTATGACGGTCGTGTACTGTATCGATACCAACCACTCTCTGCTTGGAAGAATGAGGGACCTGCCTGCTGTTTCTGAGCCAATGTTGACTCTCATCGCTTCTTGTCTGTGTGATCAGTGTGGTCTTCATTCTGTTAGACTTCTAGCTTGTGAATGGCAGCACCTGCAGTTAAAATTGGCTGTATTCTGGTATTTGTTGTGACTCTTGTGAGAGCTGGCTTGCCCCAAGTAACCACTGTTCCTCTGTTATCTCCCTGCCTTGTCTTGATTGACAGTTCATTCCATGCTACCACCACCACCACTGCACCCACCATCCCCACTGCACCCACTCCAATGCCATGGTTGTGCTTGTGGGATGACGATGATTATGATGTCATTGACTACACTGATTATGATGTCATTGACTACACTCTGTGCTTTTCTGGGTTGCTGCAGACGTTGTGCGTACTGGTGCGCTGCATTTTCCGCAAGCTATCCGGAGTGGACATCATCAACGTGCTGGTGGGATTTGAGCGGGCCGTCACCGAAATGCAGGTTGGTGCTGCCGTCGGCACGCGCAGTGAAACCTTGTTTTAGAGAAGAACAACACTGATAAGACAAACTTTCGCTTTAGAGAACACTGATAAGACAAACTTTCGCTTTAGAAGAACTAGCATTCATAACTCTCTTGGGTAAATCACTGTGGATTCACTGATTATAAAAATGGATAAGAAGAACTCCCGTTATTGCGAACAAATACCATTGGTCCCTTGGTGTTCGTCCTAAAGAGATTTGACTCAACTTGAATTTAGATGATTAGATTCCTTTCTACCAGAGCCCGGCCAAGTTGTCATAACTTGTATGTAACTTATGTACATGTGTGTATGTAACAAGTGGACTGCTAGTATCGTCTGGTGAATTGGCCATCATCCTGTCATGATCTGCCAGTAATACTCTTTATAGAGTGTATATTTTGCTGCTCGCTGGTTTTCACACACTGGTGAGTTATCTGTGTGTGCGTGTGTGTGTGTGCGTGTGTGTTTGCATGGATGGTTGTCTTTCTGTCTATTGTGCAGGTGTTGATTGGCAACATTTCTTCCATACTCCTGGAACCTAAACAGGGTATGTACTTTCTTGGGCAATACAATTTTAGACTGGCGCTGGTCTCTCTATAATCCCACTAGCAGCACCCCCGGCCAGCGTTGCCTGGCCGAACGTGGCGCATGGCATGCGGGTGAAGCAAGTACATGAACAGCACACGTGCTCAGCACGTGGTGGTGGCCAGACTGCTGAAGTCCTGGTCATCAGTGAGGGAGGTTCTTCATCGTTGGAAGGAGAAGGAGGGACGTCTGTTACGCCTTTGGGAGGCTGGTCAGGGTTGTCCATCACCTGGTGGCGGATGAAGCGGCTCAAAAAATTCATAAAAATAATTACGAACAAAAGTGCGATGCGCTCTTCACTGCAGATCAGATGCAGAGTGCAGTCAGTGCAGATCTTTTGTATCCTTTTGTTGCAGATGTTTCTATTTGCAGAGAACGGTTCACGTGGTCCGCAGCGCTTGTGCGGCTGCTAGTGCTACCAAGAGTACATAACTACACAGTGTAGTTATGTACTCTTGGTGCTACCTATGGCCTAGGCTAGGTGGCTACATATACATGATTCGCACGCTTCGCGTGCTCAGTGCTTCTGCGCGCGGCTGCTACTGCTACTCGTACTGATCGTGTCTGCTACCTACACACACACACGTCACAGGTGCCTCTTCTTTAGTATGGCCTAGGCTAGAACGTGGCATGA